GCCAGGCCTGGGCAACCTAGGAGAAGTCCTCAACTTTTCTTCTAGGGCAGGTATTCTATGGGGAGTTGGATCAAACCTGCAATCTAGGTTAAAATAGGTCCTCTAATTGAGAACTTCTGTTGGTAAAATAGGGGGTCCAATTGAGGACTTGCAATGGGAAATGTAGGAATCTAGGTATAGGCCCTTTATTCCTAGTCTCAGCGCTGTGTTTGTTGTTTGTCAGTTTGTCTTTTCTTGAAGGATTATGACTCAGGACAGAATCTAAAGGGACAGCCCCCTTCCTCACCTTTGAAAATCAGCGGGGAAGTTACAGCCTGGTGGAGGACAATACCCTCTGGCTCCTTGCATGCCCCTAGACCAGCCTGGGCTGCCAGCCTCCTGATGGTGGCTCCTAGGGGTACCTAAAATCCTGTGAATGGCAGGCACTCAGAGCCTGCTTGTCCCAGGGCTTGGGTAGGAGCTGGCTTCCAGAAGGACTTGCCCCACCCCTTCTTCCCTGCAGGGTGAGTGGTCTACAGCATGCCTTCTGGGAGCAAACATCCTCCACATAGGCCTCTGTCAGTGGTGGGTTCAAGGATGACAAATCCTTGGGAGAAAGATGCCTGTGGGGCGCACACTGGCTAGCCAAGGGGTGGGTGCCTCCAAATCTAAGTGTGCCCCTCTGGCCCTGCATTCCTGGGAAGCTGAGGTCCCAGCAGGTCTAAAGCCATGGTCCCCTAAAGTTAACACTCACTGGCTCACTTGCCTGTCACAGCTCTCTGTAGTGCTAGCAGATGGGATTCCTGCACCCTGACTGAAAAGTTGCCCACTCCTAGCCAAACAGGCTTGGCTTTGTTCTGTAAAGTTGCAGCCTATGGATGCTAGAATCTTGTTATGACACTGTAGCCAGACTTCTCTCCACCAGGGCTGCTCTAGTCATTCAGATTCAAGGGCTGGTTACAAATTGTTATTGGTTAGGGTAATGAAAATTGTTTTTCCAAACCACTGGCAGCCAAGGACAGTTTGTGCCCATCAGTGCTGCCTCCATTTCTTCCTAAGCCAATTATATTAAATTATGCCATTCTGTATACTTTGGGAAGATTTGACGTTTAAAGAAAAGTCAAAGATACATCATGTTTAAAAATAAATCTTTTCTTTCCATAGGAAAAAAAATATGTGTTTTATTTATCCAAACATAATGAGTTACATTCATTTGTCATCATTTTAACAAATTGGTACATATTATTATTAACTAAAAAGAGGGCAATTTAGGGTAAAGTTTTTTATGTCAACTAAAATAAAATAATAATAAAAGTTGTATAAAGTTTTACTGTCAAGTGCCGGGAATGCAGTGCCTGCACTGTGTGTG